AGACTTTGATTTAAAAACTGTGTGTGTGCTGCAGTACTTTTCCGTGCGTTTTAGTTGTGAGCCACCTTGATGTGGAAAAAAACCCAGTGAAAAACACTTCATGACCTACGCTCACTACACCCACTCACGCTGCTTTATTTTCAGCTTTAAACACCAAAACACGGCTCAGGGTCCTCTGCCTGTTATTCAGTCAATGAATAAAAGGGACACACGTGGGCATGAGGCACAAAGAGGAGAACTAAACCGGTTCATCAGGGTACAGTCACCTTACAGTAAATGCAGCGGTTTGGGGAGGGTGGATACCTGTAAAGCTGGCTGTTACTTTTAGAGGAACTGAAGACTTGAACCACAGTTTGTGTGATCAGAAGAAAAGTGGAATTAAAAGCTGTTACAATTATAACGTCGGGGCTCTGCTGCACAGGTAGGGTGAAGTTTTAGGTGATTATGAGGGGGCTCAGGGGAAAGCTCAACACAGACACAAGTCAGCTGATATGGTCTGGATATCTGAGCAGGATTCATGCTGGAAGGCTCTAAGGTGAGGAGGCCCAGCAGCAGTTATTCCTCTCAGCTGGGTCTGTATTTCACTAGAAGAGGAGGCTGAAAGGAGGGCGATCTGGGCATCTCTGCTCAGATAATTTTGCTTGGGTTTATGTCAGCTGAAGCCAGTTCTCTAAGACAGGCCTAACAGACCCTGGTGGTGTCAAATCATAAACCCTAAACCAGATGGAAGAGAGGTCAGGGTGAGTCACTACTGGGTGCTGTGGTGTTGTCTTGAAATCTGAGGAAATCTCCACCATCTGTAAACCTCTCTGTGACTCAGAGACGCCATGTTTGGAACTCAAACCTCCCCCAGGTAATATTTGCCCTTAGGGACGATGTTATGGCATCATTGAGAGAGATCTGGCTGTTTGTTAAAAAGCAGGATTACTCTAATGAGGGTGCATGTTTTTACCCAAAACTAATCAGGTCATCTTTAGTGGCTAAAACTAACCAGTGAGTAAAAGTGAAAGAGAAAATAATTCAGCAAGTGTTAAAAAAAAAAAAAGCCAAACAAACTGTAAAACGGTCTCACGGGGGCAGGAATCAGCATCTCCTGGCTGACGAACCTGCGCTGCCACGCGTCCAGCCTCCTGCTGCAGGCTTTGCAGGTCTTTGATAGAGGACCATAGAGGACTGCAGCGGCTGCTGCGTCAGAGCATCGCTGCCAAAGGACGACGCAGGAGACGGTAAACTGAACAGCAACATATAGTGTCCCAGGATGATAACATGGTGCAGCTTCAGCTTGAAAAAAAAAAAGGGAAAGGTGGCTTCACGTTCTGCAGTCGCAACATTAAAACTATGGATTATAGCTCAATAATACATAAGGGAACAGAATGACACTCCTCTTATTCTGCTACACAATAGATAGTAAAAATATATATGTAGACATTTTACAGGTTGGATTATCACTTTTTCCTCTTGTACAAACCAAAATGGATAAATGTCACCAGCGACTTCTTAGAGGAAGAGGAATTGAGCTTTTTTTTAATTTAATATTAATTTCTGAGTGAGTCTTTTGGAAAAGTGTTTAATGAAAAATATATCATATTAAGGCTCGTGTCACTGCAGGCTGCTACTGTGCAAGCATTTTGAAAACTAGCTTTATGCATTTTAAAGTTGTATCACTTAAACACTTTAATGAAAGTGCTGAGTCAGCAGTTTCATAAACCACTGGCTATAAAATGTGTGGAAGGAGCAGCTGCCAGCCTTCTTCCAGCTGCAGCAGGGGTGTCAAACATAAAGCCTCTGGGCCAGAATCGGCCAGGCCAAGACTCCAATCCGGCCCACTGGACATCTTTAGAAAATGTAAAATGAGTTTGACATCCATGATCAAAGGGATAAATATAGCAGGACACTTTATTAATCCTTCTCATGAAACTGGATCAAGTAGCTGAAGCGGGAGTATTCAATGTTTCCATTTTTATATCATAATGTCATAACATATAATGATCATTTAAACCCAATTCTGCAGAAGTCATTGGTTAAAGCAAGTTAACCGCCTCTCATTATGTAGCTGAATGAAACTATTTTTAATGGTAAAAAGAAAAACAAGAATATCACCTTAAGAACTCATTTTTAGTCCAAATTCCTTTCAAAAACAATCAGTTTCTGGTGCCATGGTAATAAAAGTTTCAAGTTTAAAGATTAGATCCTTATGACAGGATATGATTGAGGACAGTCACAAACTTCAGTTTTCCAACTCTTTCCAGTCCTTCGATAGCTCCAACACCACCGTGCTGGTGCTACTTAATCATCCCACATTTCACCAGTTTACGAACATACGTAGTGTTTTCAGCTACACAAAAATCAGTGGGAAGAAATTCACAGTAGACTGCATCTGTGGGCTGCCAGTAACAAGCCCCTCAGAGATGCTTTCTGTAAGGCCAAACGAGAAGTTTGCATCGCCCTGGATCACTGAAAACATCAGCATTCATCCCCAGTCTTTGATTATCACATAAAATTAGCTGTTGGTTAGGATGTGTTTACTGCCAGCAGTAAAACACTAAACCACAGCA